AAGTATGTCCCATGGAATATTTGGAACATACTTATGCTAAAAAATTATTAATTTTTTTAAGCTTCAAATTTAATCGGGCATCCTGTATTTTACCTGGTAAACTTAGTCATACAGCCACACTCTGTGAGCCCAGATATGATGGTAGCTTGGACTACAGAGAACACACTGAAAATGGAAAACATCTTCAATTTCATTGGAAGGAATTGAGAGATACAAGAACCAACAGGAAGTAATAAGGGATTGAACGTAGGGAGGAGGGAGAGTTGACTTGCTTATCTGGATAAAGGTTAGTTGACTGAAATAAATCCAACTAGAAAAATAAAAGAAAATTTGGCAAGGAGTAAGTTAATCTATAGTGGGAAATAGAAAAAATTAAAAATGTTAAATTTGACGTGCCATGAAGAGATTCAAATGATGGAGTTATCGAATAGACAGAAATGAAATTCAAAAGAGAGGTGAGGGCTATGATGTACATTTGGGAGTGACTGACATATAAATCCTATGTAAAACCACGGGAGGGATGAGATCACATAGTGAGTGAGATAAAAAGAACAGGCAAGGAGTGTGTCCTGAGAAACTGAAACACATCTCTTGTCCCTTTTCCTGCTTTGGTTTTCCTATCTCTTCATATCTTCAGAATTATCATATATGAAATTATTATTATTACATGTAAATTATTATTACATTACAATTAAAATCTGCCTAGTTTGATAGAAGTTCTATTTAGCAGTCTTCTCTAATATGCATTATGAAAAATAATTTTCTTTACAAATAGTGACAAAGCTCATGGCAGTTCTTTCCTCAAGGTTAGAGTTGGGGAAGATAAGGAGCAACAATATACCATAGGTAGAGAACTGGCTTATTTTCCTTTCATAAATGAATCAAAACAAGAGCCTTTGGGCATTTTGCATTTTTAAAAAATGTCTTCTTAAAAAAAAAAGTCTCTTCATTTCCTTGCTACTAGTTGCCCTCAGCCCCCTTGTATATGTCATACTTTGCCAATATATTTGATTAAGGAATATCGAGTATATCAGGTTGGGGAACAAAAACACTAGTTAACAAAAAATAGGTAAAGTAACACTGGACAAGAATGAAACAAAAATAATACGGAAATGTGAACAAACAAGAAAAAATGCGAACACAGCTTTTTTTTTTTTCCTTTTTCTTTTCGAGACGGAATCTCACTCTGTTGGCCAGCCTGGAGCGCAGTGGTGAGATCTCGGCTCACTGCAACCTCCACTTCCCTGGTTTAAGCAGTTCCCTTGCCTCAGTCTCCCGAGTAGCTGGGATTATAGGCACACGCCACCATGTCTGGCTAATTTTTTTGCATTTTTCGTAGAGACAGGTTTCACCATGTTGGCCAGACCGGTCTTGAACTCCTGACCTTAGGCAAACTGTCCGCGTTGGCCTGCCAAAGTGCTGGGATTACAGGTGTGATGCATCACTGCCCATAGCTTTTTGTTTGTTTGTTTTGGTGAGGGATGGGAAGACCACAGCCCTTTTAACAGAGTAGTCACAAAAGGTCATAGAATTTCCATTTCTTATCTTTGATCCAAAACATTTTTCTAATTATTCCAAAGGAAAATACCCAGTTAGAAGCTATATTATTACCTAGTTAGAAGCTATATTATTACCTAGTTAGAAGCTATATTATTTATCTAATCATGGTGAAGCTTTCCTCCACTTTCAAAACTTAGGAGTTACAAAGTATGTTTGTCAATGAAGGATTTTTAAATGGTACCAATATTGAACACAGAAATTCTTAAAAACAGAAACAAAATCTCTATATAACAGCATACATTTTACTCTGAGTTTAAGAGTGAAATGTTTTCCAACTAGTAAAAGTTACATTTTGGAATAATAGCTTTTTCCCTGTAATTCCTTGTAATTCATAGAAAACTATCTTAGAAGGGTTTATATGAATAGTTACAGGCCTAAATTTATAATCAAGTCAATCTGGACACTTAAAGTGAAGATTTATCATAATTAAAAGAAAATGTGTTATTTAAAAAGCATTCTGTCATTTCTACTTATTTGGCCTGTTTTTTTTTAAAATAAACTCTGAGTTTCTGTTTCTTTAGCACCTTTGCCTTAGAACAGATTAAAGAAAGTAGATGAAACTTTAATTATTTGATACATAGTTTTCTATAATAGAGGAAAGAATTTTAAGCAACTAATTAACACAAGTTTTGAGATTTTCTAGCATTGTATATATTTTAACACAATTCTCTTCCCCACCTTCTTCTGACAAGTAACCGAGCTAAAACTGTCACATTCAAATGGAAGTTCATTTGCAGTAGGAAAATAAACGAATAGATCTTAACCTATGATCTCAGTGTAATAGTAAAATTGATGAAAGATTATGAAATGACTGAATTCCTAATACCTTCAAGATTTTAAAATTCAAGTTATTATTGAATCTCTCCATATTACTCTTAAATTATATCCAAACTGGGATAATTCCAAGTAATTAAACATACTATAGTGTTAAGGTAAAGCAATTAAAAGACCCAATCTATCCGTCATATATTTAGGTTTAACAGTAAACTGTTGACAACTTCACAGACTCCAGTGCTGAAACCCTAGCCTCTCTCTCAGATTTGTTATATTTTATTTTTAGATGTAATCACTTCCCTCTGGTAAATGGTTAGTGACCACACGCGCAGGTCTGCACATGAGGAAACTAAAAAGGGAACCTTGCACTGTGAATCAGATACACAAGATACAAGAAGGGTCTCCTTCCAGGCCATGCCCAGCGTGTCATACATATTCTTCAATAATCCCTTTGACAGTGCTGTGCTGACATTTTCAATTAATGGAAACGATACTTGAAGTTAAGCAATTTCCATCACAGGTTCAGTACGTGTTGCTTCACGAACACCCTCTACCAAATGACACGATAAAAATAAACTTATTTTTTCTTTTATTAATTTCCCTTAATGCTTCATGTTAAGTGAATCTTGTTAGAGTTCAGATTAATTTTGAATTCACACTGTTGAGAAAATCTTTCATAATGATCAATTCAGCAAAGTAAATTGGACCAGAATATATGGATTTTGGTAGCCCTATATATATCATATAATCTGATTAAAGAGTTGAGATACTAGAGCTACAAAACCAAACATTCAGGGGAATCTGAAGATGGGAAAGTGTTAGTTATGCAAGATGATCATGTTCTAGACATCTGCTGTATAATATCGTGTTTATAATTAACAGTATTGTGTTATACACTTAAAAATTTGTTACGAGGGCAGATCTCATGTTAAGTGTTCTTATCACAATTAAAAAAAACAGTTACTAAAGGCAAACAATAAAATAAAATAACAACAACAAAAAAGGAAACTTGGCCTAAAATGGAAGGTAAACGGTGAAAAGAAAAAAGAAAACCAAAACAGCTGGTAATTATCCCAAAGGTAAGTGTTTCTCTAAGAGTTTTCCACAGATATTCTGCATTAGATTCATCTGTGGAGCTTGATAAAGATGTAAATTACTGAATCCCACCCCAGTATGACCTGCAAAATGGGACTATGTGAGAGGAGGACTTACGAATCAAATACGTCAGGATTCTTTTTCATGCTAAAGTTGGAGAACTATTTATTTAAGTCCTTCAAATCCTTGCTATCATCAAGAACATTTACTACCCCATTAGCATGTGCCTAAAAACTGTCCCTATTCAACTAAAGATTCATTCATCCTTCTAACTAAAAAGATCCTGTCATCTCAGATTAAATTGCAAAGCACATTACCTACTGTATCTCCTAACAAAAAGAGAAAAAGAAATTCAGAAGAGTAACAATAGTATCAGAATAAACTCCTCTGCCCTATGCATCTCTTTTCCTTTTTTACATAGTTATAGCTGCCATGAGTCACGGCTGATTAATTTCTCACTGAAGAAAGAAAGCGTTTCCCCCCCAAATTGTATGACAGCCACAGGATGTCTTTCGTACAATAACAGAATAGTCAAACTTTCAAGTGAATTATTTTAGGAAATGCACCTTCTGCCAAATAATAAAAAATCATAAACACTTACATAACACTCTGAAGGACTAAGATGTGTTAGATCTTTATGAGTAATTGTATTCTATGTGTGTCTCAAACTCAAAAGTCTCTACTAGAGTGGGTTTATACTTATTTAGCAAAAATTATTGAAAAAATATTCAAAAGAATAGGCAGAATAATACAGTCTCAGAATACATAATCATATATGATTAGCATCAGAATACATTATATGTGATCTTTGCATGGGCAAAATGAAGTTTCGCTTTCCCCAGCAAATGGCTTCCCCAATGTGTCTAATCAACCTTGTAATATGAATTACATTTAGCTAAGTAACTTATACACGCTCAATGTCAAGAAAAGTCTTCCAAATTAACCACATAATCAATTTTAAAAAGCAGAGGTGAAGGTAAATATTTCAAATTGCCCTAAGCCTTCTGGAAATATTTATGAAAAGACTGATAAATATAATAATTGCAAATAAATATTGTCTATTTAGTTCAAAAAGTGCTCTAAAGATCTGTCAACTTTTTGTTTGCCTCATCTGAGATACTACAAAATGGACATAAAATTAATCTACATTTCCTTTTATACCTCCTATCTTATTTTTCACTTTTTCCTAATTAAGATTAGATATGTGCTTGTTAATCCTGATTCGAATGAGTTTCCATATTTATAACTTGAATAAGTAATTCTTGAAGAAGGGAGAGATATTCAATGTCATATAAACACACATAGGCACACATGCATACATGTATATTTGTAAATATCAAAGACAAAAGGAAAAGCTAGACTAATAGACTATGCATATAAAAAAAAATGAGGTAATTTTAGGAATTCCTGATATGCATCATGGGAAGATCAATAGAAGAAAGCAATGAATTATAATTTATTCTGTTATAGTAGATTCACCTATGGCCTTTTCAATCTTAACAAGATTTGTTTTAATGATTTAAAGGCTATAAATAACATTGGATGATTAGGCAAAGAGCTGTCCTGGATACCTGTCTTGTCCCTAATGGTCACGGAAGTGGAAGCAGGAAGCAGGAACACTGACATCCAAAGCCAAAGTTTCCAAGGGCCAGTGTGTCTCATTGTGCCTTGAAACCATGTGAACAAGTGGCCACGAATCTGCAACAGAAAAAAAAAAAAATGAATTAAGTCGTTGTATGCAGCTCCTTTCAACATCTCTAGAAAATCTTACCAAAGCAAAACAATGAATTTTACACTATATATCATCATATAACAGGATATATGATTATATATGCAACTATGTATCTCAATATATACCTTAATCTGTATGGTAAGAGCTCTGAAAATATTTTCAGATTATTTTCTAGTTAATTATTGATGTTGATACAGCTTATCAGTTAAATTTTCTCTGCTTTTACATATTTTTCAAACTACACTTAAACTGACACATTTTTGATTTTTAAAAATTGTGGCCAAATACATAAAATATAAAATTTACATTCTTAACCATTTTTAAAAACACAGTTCAGTAGAATTAAATACATTCATATTGCTGTGCAACCATCCCCAGAATCTGCAGAACTTTTTTCATACTGCAAAACTGAAACTCTGTGCCCAATTAAAAAACAATTCCCCATTTTCCTGTCCCCCAACTCCCAGCAGCCTTCATTCTACTTCCTGTCTCTATGAATTTCACTAATCTAGTGGAATCATTCAGTATTTGTATCTGTGTGACTTTATTTCACTTAACATATGTCCTAAAGGTTCATTGTGTTGTACTTTGTGACAGTTTCCTCCTCCTTTAAAGCTGAATATTTCATTTTATATATATATATACACACACACACACACACACACACACACATACCACATCTTGTTTATCTATTGATCTATCAATGGACATTTGAGTTGTTCCCATCTTTTGCCTATTGTAAATAATACTGCTATAAACATGGATATAAAAATATCTGTTTAAGTCCCTGCTTTCAATTCTTTTGGGTATATGCCCAGAATCAGAAGTAGAATTGCTAACAATACAATAATTCATTTTTAATTTTCTGAGAAAACAAAATACTGTTTTCTATAACAGCTGCACCATTTTCATTCTCACTAACAATGCACAAGGGCTCCAATTTCTCCATTTCCTAGATAAGGAATGCTATTTTGCCTAAAAAATATATGTATAATTACCATACTAATGGGTGTCAGACGGCATCTCACTGTGCTTTTGATTTGCATCTCCCTAAGTATTAGTGATGTTGAACATCTTTTCAGGTGCTTACTGGTCATTTGTATATCTTCTTTGGAGAAATGTTTATTCAATTCCTTTGCCCATATTTTAATCCAGTTGTTTAAGTTGCCTATGTTTTTTTGCATTGTATAATATACAATGATTCATATTACTAAAATATATTATTCACAATTCTGTTATTTCTGCTGAATATAGTTTTACATATTTTGGGTTAACTGATGTCATGTTTTCTATAAACTTAACTATGTTGTTATTGGATTGAATAATCACTGTTACTGAAGTGATTACTCCACGTGTGAAAAGTAATCTTGTATTCTGTTTATAAAGAAAAAATACATACAAGTAATGCCTGCCTCACCTGAGCCTGCCATTGACATCATATTTAATATTATTACCTCTGATAATTGTCTTTCTGAACATGTACTTCTACTCCTGAGGCACTGAAATAAAAGATTTAGTAAATAGAACCCCTGTAATGGAAAACTTAAACATCATTTAAATTAATTTTTTTAGTGAAGCAGCTAATGTGGACATAAATTGCAAGTGAAAATATAATGGCTCCCTCAGTGTATTTGGTAATTGTAGTATTATTAAAATAGCTATTCTAAGAGGTCTAAATATGCAAATAAATGCTATATCGCTTACGTGCCATCATTCAAAGTTAAATCAAGAGTCAAATATAAAAGAATTCATTATACGAGTGTCTAAATTCTATTGATAGATACTCTTTAGACAAAAACTAAAGCCACCATCTTCTTTGGTATTCTGTGTGTGCCAAATACTCTAAGATCAGCATTTTAAAATTAATTCAAGATTTCAGATCTTTCTGGATGAATAGCTAGAAGCAGCAACTGCAATATTAAAACTGTATGTGTAGTTCTAAATATCAAACAGCTGGTTTTAAGCCTTATTTCTTTTGAATTCTTTCATCTAGATATAGTCCCAATCCTCACATGACTTTGCAAAGTTATCCTACCTATTATTTCAAGTCAGTTGGTAACTGTTAAA